AACTTGGAAAATGAATATTGTAGTATGATGATATGGCTGATTTTTGCTTTTTATTTTGTTGATTTACTTTATGGTCGTTTTTTCAGCAATTTTTAAAATTTTAATTTATTTTGTCTAATTCTAATATATATCTATGTAAATAATTTAAAGTTAATTTTATCAATATGTTAAATATATAGTATATAATAATTAATAATAATATTTTCAAAAATGTTTCGCGCTTAAAATTAAATTATACTGTATGACGTCATTTGTTTATAAACGGTAATTTTCGTTATTATTTAAAAATGTTTTGCACTGACGATGATATATTTTATATCGAAAAAGCTTATTGCAATTATTTATATTAATAAACATGAACAATAATAATTTTAGTTTTTTACTTAATAAAGTAAATAATTATAATAAAATTTTAATTATAAAACTTGAAAAATTAATGTATAAACATAATAATTGTATTAACGCGGTTGATTTTCTTGAAAACTGTATCGAATATGGTCTAAAAATCCTAATATATATATATATATATATATATAGAGAGAGAGAGAGAGAGAGAGACCATATTTTATACAGTATTGTATGAGTTCTACCAAATTGTTGGCATTAATCAATTCAAAGTTTGCCTTTTCAATTTTCCTTTCTAGAATTTTTTGGAAATTGTTCAATTAGTTGAAAATAGAATTATCTAAGTTCATCATGAAAACTTAATGAAACCGTTATTATCCGAATTCCGACATTACGATTAAAATTTTTGAAGCAATTAAAATGACCCAAAGACATTACATAAATTATTCTTATATAACAATTATCTATTAACCTTTTATGACTTTTTTTTCTTGTAGAACTCCTACTACCGGAACGTCTACTTGATCTGCTCCTTGATCTACTACAACTTTCTCTTTTCATTTCAACTTTTTTAGAATCATCTTGCCATTTCGACCTTAATTTTTTGCGTTCTTCACAAGTTTTCTATGCAAATTTTCATTTGTTTAATGTAAATATGCACGTTTAATTAATGCTAATAAACGAAAAAAAAAATTTTAGCAGATAAAAAACATAAACATGAATATAAAGAATGCCAGACGTTTTGCCTCCTTGACTTTTCGTCCTCACGACGATTCGCCCTTATCTTAAGTTCGCCCGCAAGACGATTCGCCCTTATCTTAAGTTCGCCCGCAAGACGATTCGCCCTCAAAATAGACGATTCGCCCTCAAAATAGACGATTCGCCCTCAAAATAGACGATTCGCCCTCAAAATAGATGATTCGCCTCTTTAAACTATTCGCCCGCATGTGTTTGTGCGTGTGTGTTTATGCGTTTGTGTGAATATGTTTATGGGTTTGTGTGTTTGTTTCTGTCTGTATATATGTTTATGAGCTCATGTATTTGGACGTATATACGTACAAATATACTGTTTGTGTGTATGTGTGTACATATAATAAACAGGACATATAATTTGGATGATGATGTTCACCTAATTTTGCTTAGTTGTCAAATCTTGGTTAATGCATTTGCGTGTGCGCGTGCTAGTATGATGAAGTTGTTGATTTACGAGCCTAGATAAATTTAGATAAGGTTGTAATATTTTTGGTGCTATTCATTTTCTGATATGTAATTTATTTTTCACTTTTTGTGTTTTTCAAACAGGTTGGCGAAACCAATTAAATAAAAAATCATCAAATGATCAACTAGATATATACTTATTATTTTTCTAGGAAGAAGCAAATTTTGTAACAACACAACTAGAACTAGTAAAAAAATTGAAGAGATATCAAAGATGTACATATTGTTATAACCGTCACAAATGTATTTGCTAGCCACACTAGTGTCGCTGCGAATGCACAGAGTTCGAGAAGGAACTGGAAACTTCTGGCAGCGAATTATCTAGTAAGTTCGTGACGCCTCGATGAAACGGGTATATAAAGACGAGCGAGATATTGAGCATCAATTGGCCTTGATAAAAAATGGAAGACATAACGTTAAAAATTGAACAGAAATTTCATCAGAAAATTATTGAGCTCGAATAGAAGTTATCTTGCGAAGTGGATAAATCTAAACAAGAACTGAAAACACTAAAAAAAAATAAACTCCACACCTGTAAGTCACGTGACCACGAAGATATTGAAAGATCCAGCATTCGACGGAGAAACTTCTTAAAACACCTACTATAAAACCCATTTTGAAGCAGCAGCAATGAATTATGACTGGAATGAAAGAGAGCAAGCTACAGCTATTGTGTTAGCGTTATGAGGGTCAGCGGAGTTAAATGAGCTGAATTTACGTTGTGGTGAAAAACAGATGAAGCAAATATATCGGTCCTAGTTACGAAACCGGATGCATTGACCTGGAGAATCAATACAGTAGCTGGCAAAGGATATTGAACGGTCGACTCTGCTGTCATACACTAAGTACGACTCACAACGCACAAAAGAAACTTCATTGGAAATGTTTGACAAGGCTGTTCAAGATTCAGATCTTAGACAAACTCTCATGCTAACGGAGCAAGCATCAAAGACTAACGTAAAGACACACCAAATTCGTGAAAAATGTATGTGTCAAAGGGTCGTTCTAAAACGGAGGGGTCAGGATTTTGGTGCACCAAAATGCTGGAATTGAGGAGAAAGAAGACATCTACGACGAAATTGTAAACAGGCGTCATGGAAACAATTGCTTATGTTATAAAGCAGTAACATGGCATAAACGATTGGAGGTTGGCTAGTGGAATTGACGCCTATAGTGCCGCGATTAAAGTCTCCAGGTTGCACCGTAAAAGAACCTTCCACAACAATGCCGATGCTTTTTCGTCGACCCTGTTGCAAATACTGTAGTCGACTGGAAGAGAGAGTACAGACAGAAGATGTACGGAAAATAACGATTGAATGACATCGTCTACCGAATTCAGGAGCCGCGGAATAGAATGAAAATTGTTAATTTGGACAGTGCTCCATTCTAAGCAGACGTTGCAACGAACCCTGTTCAGGACGAACAAAACTGAAAGGAGGGATAGTGTTATGACACGTCACAAATGTATTCGCTAGGGGCACTAGTGTCGCTGCGAATGCAGAGTTCGAGAAGGAACTTGAACCTTCTGACAGCGAGTTATCTAGTAAGTTCGGTGCAAGTCGATAAGACGGGTATATAAAGAAAGACGTGCGAGATATTGGGACATGAAGTGACATTGAATATTTGATATTGGAAAGCGATCGGATTGTTGGTGTCGAAAACAATATTTGATATTTGACTTTGCGTTGAAAGTGTTATTGTATTTGTGATATACGTTAGTGAATGTTGATTCGAAAAGCGAAAGTTTCTGAACTTTAATTTGATAGTTTGTGAACATTAATTTTAGCCTGATTATTGATTAACATTGATAATTGATTTGTAAATAAATAAAACAATAGTTTAAAAGTTATTTCCTGTCACTATTTCTCACAGGGATAAAACGAACCCGTCGTCGACCGGCCAGTTATAGCAATATAAAATATGATAAAATTGAAACGATGTAGAACTTACTGAAGGAAAATGAATAAACTGTCACCACAATTTTCAAAAAATTGTTCCAAAATTTACAAATATTATTGTTGTTAGCTGAAATATTATTAAAAAAATAACCATTATTCGATTTGTATACGTTTTCGATGTGTATATGCATTTATGTAGCAGCAACGCTGTAAACTTTTTTGTTATAGTAGTGACAATGTATTTGTAAATAAAACCGATTTTAAATAATATTATGATATATAGGCGAAACATCTAGCGTTAAACTTATAGGAAGCGAGACGTCTTCAAATGCGGGCGAAACGTCTTGAGGGCGAAAGTGACAGGAGGCGAAACGTCGAACCATAAAATTAAGGGGGCGGATAGTCTTTAGTGCGGGCGAAAAGTTTTGAGGGCGAAAGTGACTGGAGGCGAAACGTCCTGTTACCAATATAAATATAGAAAAAATCATTTATAACAAAAATTTTAAACCCTAAGTTCTTCAAGTTTCTGCCGTAATATGATGAATCCAACGTGTAATTTGCCACCGAAATGATCAGCTAACCGTCTGTCATTATCATAAATGCCCAGAAAAGCACTACAAACTTCACAGACTCTCAACTTTTGCTGTTGGTAACTAGAAGATGGTAAGCTTGTTCTATATTCTAGCTAAGAACAGTAACAAGAAAATAAAACAGGTAAATAAACATTAACATTAAATTTTATAAAAGATACAAGTAAGATAAAAATTATATATATATATATATATATATATATATATATATATATATATATATATATATATATATATATATATATATTGGATTAAGACTGTCAGAAATGCAATTATTGATGAAAATCACAGCATGCATGCTACCTATTGGCCGCGACACCTCAATTTGCGTTTCTTGGCTACAATAATTGAGTTGTGTTATTTTAAACCTTATTCGACAGTCTACTGACGAGTCTCGTGAGAGACTAAACGTACGTCTGGCCTATGGCTTGTAATGGTTATATACACAGTACAACATTTACTGGTATTTCTACGACCGACAGACAAAACCTAGCAACCGAACAAGAACGTGAGAAGCGATTGCTTCATCTTTCACGGGAGTTAGAGGCAAAACAATACTGCATAAAATATGGTCTTCTTCCAACACACACACACACGCACACACACACATATGTATATATATATATATGTCGATATATATGTATATAGGTTAGAAGAAGACCATATTTTATGCAGTATATATATATATTCAATCAATCAATCTTTGTTTTGCGTCCAGAGACCCGGTTCCCCGAGGTAGGACGTTGTTTTCTTTGCCATCAACTTTTTGCGCCAAATTAAACGATCAGCTGTATCCAGCTGTATCCATTCCATTTATATTTAGAGCTTTCATGTCTTGCTCGATTGTTTACGACCAGGACTTCTTTGGACGGCCTTTGGGACGTGTGCCAGGTACTTCAACATCTGCAAGAGAAGTTATGGCACTGTTTCCACGTCGTTTGACATGACCAAACAACTGCAGACGGTGTTACCGGCATTCGTCCTTTATATTATCTAAACCAGCACGACGCAGGATTTCGGTAGATTTGATGTGGTCCTTCAGACTAATTCGTTGCATTTATCGGAGCATTTTCATGTCGGTTCATTGAAGTTGTTGTTCCAGTTTGGTTGTCATTGGCCATGTTTCTGCACCATATAACAACACCGGACGTATCACAGATTTATAAAGTCTTGATCGTAGTGACAGTGGGATGTCACGCCGCATCAATATAGAGGCAAGGAGATGCCATTTATTCCAACGTATTAGTCTGAAGGTCCTCATCAAATCTGCGTCGTGCTGGTTTAGATGATATAAAAGACGAATGCCGGCAACACCATCTGGGGTGGTTTGGTCATGTCAAACGAAGTGGAAACAGTACCATAACTTGTCTTGCAGATGTTGAAGTACCTGGCACACGTCCCAAAGGCCGTCCAAAGAAGTCCTGGTCGCAAACAATCGAGCAAGACATGAAAGCTTTAAATTTAAACGAAATGGATACAACTGATCGCCTAGTTTGTCGCAAAAAATTGATGGCAAAGAAAACGTCCAACTTCGGGGGAACTGGGTCTCTGGACGCTAAACGAAGATTGATTGTTATATGTTTTGTTAATATTATTAAGTTATTGTACATTTTATTCTTTTTTTAATTGTCTGATTTTTGGATTAATGGTTGTATTGAATATGAGGAAATGGATTCATATCTACGCTCATTTAACACTTGATATGTTATGTATAAAAGGATGGATATTTTCCACACTGAAAACTTTTCTTTCAGTTTCTCCTCACCCTTCGCCATCCATAAGAACTGTGCCATCAGCCTATAAAATCTCCCTGGCAACCCAATTCTGACCTCCCTACTAATCCTTTCCATTTCTATAATAAAACATAGAACTTAGCGCAGTATCCTGATGTAAATCCACCTGAACATCAAACCACTTACCTACACTATCGTTAATCCATACCGCCGTCCCGGCTCTTTTATACACACTGTGTCCACCAACCATTCTTCAACACCGGCTCTGAACTTTTCTTGATTTTTTTCTAACAATAAAAATTACATCAATAGTATTTTTCCTCAGAGAAAAACCAAACAGCATTTATTCAATACTGACCTGGTCCCTGATTTTTTGCTCCAAATTCTTTCCATCACCTTTATAGTATGATTCAATAACTTGATTGATATATAACATCCACAGTTTAAAGGGTCTTCTTACCTTTGTATATTGGAAAGATTATGTTTTTCTCTCGATCTTCTGGGATTTTTTTTCAAGGCCCTATATCTTTTAAAACAGACCACTGGAAGTGCTCGATCTCCAATACTGACTACCAAATGACCACTCTTTATTACTTTGATATCGATGAGGCTGGATTTTGTGTGATAGAATATTGGACTGGCTGCATTAAATAAAAGAATGTTAGCTGAAAACAGTCAATAGAAATTTTAGAAGTGAGACTGTAACATTAAATAACTGATCGAATACGAATAAACAAACAACTTATGTTCAATTAGTTAATTCATGGTTTTTCAGGAAATTGGATTTAATTTTGCCTCAAGCACATGGAAAACCGAGAACCCAAGTAATATGGTTAAGGCATTCTAATGTGTGAAATGGTTTGGATGCGCTATTCACGATCCCAATTTGGCGGTTGAATATGCTTTCGAAAAACAGTGATTTTGTAACTAATGAAAACAGCCAAAGACTTAGGTGCTTATTGTAAAAAATCCAAGTAATGTTATTTCTTTATTACAATAAGGGTAAATTAGTTTGAAAAATAAATATATATAAATACATATTATATTCAAACATTATATTCGCATTCAGAAAGCTTTGGTGGGAAAAGGTCTTAGCTTGTAACAGAATGTGATAACAAGATGGGATTTTGAGTATGAAATACTGCTATCACTGAAAAAGCGTTACCCGAGTTAAGCCAACAACCAATACAGAAGTAGCCTCTATTTGTTAAACACCGTTCTATTAAACATCATTAAATACTTGATGATTTAAATGCATTTTCTTCATCAATTTCTACTATGTCTTAGACTAATTGTTTTGAAGATCTAAAAATGTTAATTATAAAAGGAATGGGGTTTTACAATTAAATGAATTTTTTCTTTCTCAGTTTGTTTGTTGTCTTAAAAATGGCATTAATGACAAAGTATGAGTCACTCCTTTGCACCCAAAATTCAGAAATATGTTGTTGATGTACTTGAGTAAAAAAAGTTTCTTTATTCGGCAGTAACAGTGCGGCTCTATCGACCAAAATGCGTTTCTGTGAATTACCTAAAAACATCTAAGTTTGCATCCGAGATAGTAATTGCACAAAGTTTGTGTTTTTATTTGGGCTGATGATGATTATTCCATTATGTTGATTATCCGGGCTCAATTTCACGTTGGCTGTCCAGCCTACTGCACGATCAGTCCGCTATAACGGAATTCCGTTCTCAGTCATCCAAACAACGTGACATCCACGCTGGCGTTCCTCAAGTTTCAGTACCGTCACCGGCGCTTTTTAACTTTTATGTTTCGAGCCTTCCTGAACCCCCAACGTCAAGGTAATATCTTATGCGGATGATTTTACCGTCTACACGTCTAAACAAAAATAATATTGAACATGAATACAAATATTCAGATAAGGAACGGTTTAACAGAACATAGACAGTTCAACTATAAATGACCTGAAAAATAAGCTAGCGAAGTTCTGGAGCGTTAGCCATTTTCTTTATAATCCAATATAAATTATCACCTAACTTGATACAAACAAAATTGAAAATTTTTTTATTTTTAAATCTAACCTCAGCAGATAATTTTTGCTTTTTTAATTCTTCCACTTCGGCCATAAGTTTCAGCGATTCATCTACATCACCTTGTTCTCCGAATTTTTCCGCTTTAGCAAGCTTTGTACCAATTTGTTCAGCAATATCATGAATCTTGTTTGCCTAATTTTTATACGAAAAAATAAGAAACAGCCATTATCTAAATAACAATAATAGTACACATACACACACGCACACACACACCACACACACACAAACATTTGATGTAGAGTCATTTTTTACAAATTCATTTTAGATCGCGTCTATCATGATGTAAGCCCATCTAATTTAATGATTTAAACAATCGCACAAAATTTTTACTGATGAAGTTCCATTTACTTGTCCCAGTGGTAGTATGCATGCTCAAAATGATGGTGTTGCTATCGGTTCCCTTCTATGTATGTTATTTGTCAATTTTTATGTGGGTACAATAGAAAATAAAATTTTTAAAAGATTTAGAAAACTAAGATATTTATTGGTGTTATATTAATGACATTTTTGTAGCCAAATATGAAAGGAACATTGTCAGGAATTGAGTGCTCTATTATTTGTTTTGGATTGCACTATACATGTTTTTTTCAACCGATGAGATGCTAGAGGTAGAAAAGTGAAATCACGGAGGACATTAATATTTTTTGCTATTAAATTTGTAATACAACGTTACCGTTCAAATTCGCCAACAAATTGTTTTTCCACAATCGGGACAGTCTGGTAGACCTTCGCCGCCGCGGACGCTTGCTATCAACTCTCCATCACCCAGTGAAAACCCAAATAGTTACAGAACGAAAACACTCGTCTAAACCGTCGTCGAAACAATCAACCAAACGAAAGTGAATTTAACAACTTGTCTCCCCAGCTTACAACGTGCTCTCTTGGGCACAAAATAAACTGCAACAGCACTGCCTTGTGTGCTTCCAGCAAAAAAGGCTAGGCCAACTGCTTATAACTGGTGGTTGTCGTTAGGAATTGGGCAATTCCAGATATAAAATTTGTTGACCCAAACATCTTTCATGTCATCACAAAAAAAGAAAAGATCCCCTATTCCCTGCAAGACCTTGAATGGTCAAGGGGTGACTATCCAGAAAGTACGCAACAGTGGAAGGATGTTGCGGAAAATCGGGCGTCCCCTCCTGGAATATCACACTTGGCACTTTAAATACTGGATCGCTTACTGGACGCTCCATGATGATCGTCGACATGTTGAAAAGGCGAAGGGTTGACATCTGTTCTCTGCAGGAAACAAGATGGAAATAAAATGGTGTCTCTCTCATTGAGAGTTACAAGTTGTTCTGGAATGGCCAAAAGACAGCCCAAAATGGAGTAGGAATCTTCATACGGGAATCACTGGCACAAAATGTACTGGAGGCAGTTCGAATCAGCTCACGTTTAATGCTGATTAAACTCAATGGGAAAATAGGTTCTGACTGTTTCTCTGCATATGCACCACAGACCGGTGAATCTGAAGACGCCAAAATAACTTCTGGAACACACTATCAGATGCCGTCAAGAAAACACCATCATCAGAGATACCATTGATATGTGGCGACCTCAACGGCCATGTTGGAGATAAAGCAAATGGGTTCCACGGTGTCCATGGAGGCTTTGGCTCCGGGTCTCAAAACGAAGACGGTATACGGATTCCGGAATTTGCTGAAAACCTTGAACTCTCCCTGTTGAACACTTACTTCAAGAAGAGGGCAGAACATTTGATCACATATAAAAGCGGGATGTCATGCACACAAATTAACTTTATTGTCGTCAGACAACAACACAGACGACTATTCAGGAATACAAAAGTCATTCCAGGCGAAGCATGCATCCCTCAACATCGATTGCTGGTGACCGATATGATAATAGAACAATCACGCCCTGTAACTAATCGAATGCCTACTAGAATAAAGACATGGAAACTGAAGAACCCCATGTTCAGAGAGAAAATCGAGGAGTTGGTATCGGCATAGCTGGATCGTCTGGAGAAGGTAGACATAACCTGGAAATCTTTTCAGGACACCCTAGTGAGCGCTGTAACAGCTGTGTGTGAAAATCTTGTCCAAAACGCAAGCACAACTGCAAAACTTGGTGGTGAAACGAGACGGTGCAAAATGCTATTACCAGTCGGAAAGCAGCTTTCAAACAATGGCAGAAGACAGAAGCAGAATTGGAAAAGACTTTTGACAGAGTGCCTCTAAGGCAATCAGGTGGAGTCTACGTAGACAACTTGTTCCCGAATATCTGGTTCGGCTGGTTATGGCAACGTACTCTAACACAAAAACTCTGGTCAGCACAACAGCCGGTAACACGAATGAATTTGATATTAACGTCGGTGTCCATCAGGTATCAATACTCAATACCCTGCTCTTCATCACAGTGATGGAAGAAATAACCAAACTGATACGCTCAGAAAACATATGAAATGTGATATATGCATATGATATCGTTCTGACGGTGGCCTCGAAACAAGACGCAGCCAGAAAGTTTGACGTCTGGAATACCCAGCTCACCATACACGGGCTAAAGGTAAACCTTGTCGAAACAAAAAGTATGATCCCCAGTGGTACCGCTGAGCTTGTGGTCTCTGGTCATTGGCCATGTTCGGTGTGTGGGACTGGAACTGGAAGTAACTCGATCAAATGCCTACGATGTCAGCAGTGGTGTCACAGACGATGCTACGGAAATACCAGCTCACAGAGAAAAGTGACTGATTTCGTATGCCCCGCCTGCATCAACCCGCGACAACGGAGCCCAGATAGTGATACGATTACCGGGACTGCAACTCTTACTTCATTTCATTACTTCATTTCAGTATTTTGGAGATATGCTGGATTGGATAAGCTGATGCCGCCGTTCGTGGACGCATACGTGCGGCGTGAGGCAGATGGCACCTTGTTGCCTCGGTACTGATGCGGCATAGCATTCCTCTACCGCTGCACTCAGAACTATAAAACAAAGCTGTACGTTCTGTTCTAATGTATGGTGCAGAGACGTGGCCGATGACAACAAAACTCGAACAGCAGCTTCACCGAACTGACATGAAGATAATTTGTTGGATGCAACACTTTGACCTAAGGGACCATATCCATACAACCGAGATCCTGAACCGATCGGGACTGTGCACGTTGAAGGATGCATGTCGTCGTCATCGTCTTCGAAGGTTTGGCCATGTGAAGCGAAGCGAAAACGATACAATAATTTCCGTTACTGAGCACTAGGTGCATAGCACCCGCCCAAGCGGTCGCCCAAAAAGTTCTGGACGCAGACCATACAGGAGGACTCAAAGAGACAGACGCAATGGATAGATCGGCTTGGAAACAGAAACTGATGAATGGAATAAAACAGTCCGACCCATAACGGATGGAGACTATAAACGAGGATTGATTGATACTATAGGGGCGCTTGGTTGCTGCTGGCAGAAGTTCTAGATTCCTGCTGTCACTAAAAATTCTTCGGATGTCTCGTGTAACGTTCATTGAGTAGCTGTTTTGAGAGCGTGCAGTGTCTGTAAGCCTTTTTTGATGATACAAATGATGTAGAGAGTAATGTTGAGCATTGAGGTAGAATTTTAAACTGGTCAGTGCGGATGACTGAAGGGTGTTCTGGAGGTTGACAAATTTTTTTGTGATTGTTGTGAATGATTAGTTTAAATGATTTTCTAAAAATTTAGTGAAAGATTGCAGCAGGTAAGAAGTGATTCCAACTCAGATTGAATGGTGTTTGTGTTTGATGAAGGGATAATGAGGTATGTATCGTCTGCGTATTTTATGATTGTTTGAGTTGTGCCATAAAAAAGAAAAATCTAAAAAATTGTAAATACTTATGATACCTTCACGGCTGCTTCTTCCGATAGTTCTTCTTGAGTTTCTCTCAATCTTCGCTTAGCTTGTTCTACTCTGATATCGCAATCATTCAAAAATCTTTCTAGGTGTTCCATTGCCTATAATTTCAAAAAATGCTTTAGAAATTATCATTTTTAAAAAAAAATTAGGTAAAACCGCAGGAGTAAAAATATTGGATATGAAAAACTAATAGGCTGTAAAGAAAAAAACAAAACTAAGACCGAATGATGAGGCAAATTCTTAACTGAAGAGAATTTGGAAAAAATAAATGCAGTTATCTATTCATGAAGCAATCTCCCTTGTGAACCTACTTTAAAGGCTTCAACGACAAACACAAACAACGTGTATGAATATGCGTGAAAACCACGTATCACACACATTGCATATGATAGGCGGATATCTTTTTTAATTCGAACCAAATCACTGAAATAGCAGGACCAGGCGCCTTTAACCATTACGTTATCACGCCGCTCGAAATATCTATAAACGTTTATAAAAAACAGTTTATTTTTATATCAATAATTTGTAAGTTTTGATTGAAATAAACATCATAGGGTTTTTATTTAGACTTGTATAAATGTCTCTATTTTCAGTCAATGGTCTTAAAATGTTTTAATTTTTTCAATATTTCTTTTTTTTTATATACTTGCCTTTCTGTCATCTTTTCATGTGATGTTCTATGCAATTTAAATCACTTCACATTCCAACATAAAAAGCTTTTTCAAAAATCATTTGTCAAAATCAGCGTTAAATATGAATTTTGTTTTATGTAGGTTTTGAATGACATTCGGTAACATAGTCACTCTCTTGGCGAAAAGAGTGTTTATGTTACTGAAAAATAAATCATCACAAGGTTCTTTATAATATATATAGAACATACACAAATTTTAAGCCACATTTTTTCAGCTGTCCAGCAAATCCCACAGTTCTCACCACAATAGACCTCTGGCGAAACCCGACTTGCTAACCCTAACCCGGTTGCTAATTGGCTGAAGGGGCAACAACAACAGTCACTTAAAACCTATATAAACACTTTCGCTATATAAAACGTATATATATATAAAGAATTTGTTCTGGAAAAAATTCTACGTTGCTTAAAATTTGTGTATGTGCTATATATATATTGTTAGAACCATCACAAATTTATTCACCAGAGGCGCTAGTGTCGCTACGAACGCATACAGTTTGGGGAGGAACTAGAACCTTCTGACAGCGAGATATCTAGGACGTTCGAGAAGCGTCGTTAAGACGGGTATACGAAGACATGCGTGATATTGAATAGTCGTTTTTGAATATTTTATATTGGAAAGCGATTGATTGTTAGTGTCGAAAGCGATTGATTGTTAGTGTCGAAAGCGATATTTGACATTCGTTGTATTTTTATTGTATCTGCGATAAACGTTAGTGAATTGTTATTCGGAAAGCAATGTTATTGAACGTTAATTTGAGAGTTTGTGGACGTTAACTTTTAGTAGTAAAATTAATTAACGTTGATTATCGATTAAAATTATAAATAAATCGATAATTTTTAAGTTGTATTGTCTTTGTTTTTCATTAGGATTAAACGAACCTGTCGTCGATCAGACAGTTATAACAATATAATATAAAAAACCTTGTAATGATTTATTTTTACAAAAAAAAAGTAATAATACGTTGCATAATTGCAAAAATATGAAAAAAATAACATAATATAATATGTATGAACTTACATTATATATGTACATCTGTTAGCATAATACGTTAATTAGTAACGTAAAATGTAACTTACAGTTTACTATGTTCAACAATTATTTAAAAAAATTGTTTTATATCACCTTGAGCTAAACTCACTGGTAATAAATTCTTCAAAAAATGCTCCCACTAATTAAAGCACTGAATTACTTCACTAGGTACATTTTTTGGTCAGATTTTTCTTTGGACATTTATAATTTTTATTCGTTATAGAAAAATTATTTCCCTTCTATAAAAATTTTCATATAATGTAAAATTCAAAACAAATTCGTTATATAGAGATTTTCGTTGTATAGAAGTTCGTTTTAAAGAGTCTGGCTATATATATATATATATATATATATATATATATATATATATATATATATATATATATATATACTGGTAGAAGACCAAATTCTTGACAATATGTAATAAATTTCACTGATTTATTAGAGTTTATCAACTTATAAACATTTAATCAAAATTATTGCAGATGTAGAATCTGAAAAACCTTACACCAACATCCAACAACGAATCACAACACTTCCAACTCGAAGAATGAAAAACAATAACGTTAATCGGATCAACCAGCAATCTAACAATGATGATGATAACAATAATGATAACAACACCATCAACAACAACAGCAATAATATAAATAATAATAATAACTATAATAATAATGAGAACTCTTTTATTCAAAGCCAGGGTAATAAATAATTATAACTATGAAATGGTAAAATAATGAAATGTCAATATAAAACCACTATGCTCAATTCAAAATAAAAGTACAGAGCGGTGAAATATATTCAAATTTATATCATAAATTGTTTCTGTCGAAATAAATGCCGTATGATAACCTTATAACAGTTTTTATCAACTCATTATTAAAAGAAACCGGCCATATAATTTTAAACAATGAAAGATTTAAGTTATTATAGAAACCAACTGGAGATATTTCAAAAGTATTTATAATTATTGAGCAGCGTTTGTAATTGTCATTTAAATAGTTATGCAAATTATCTGAATATTTATTCATCTTTTATTGTCTGGATGATTCTGAGTTTATTATTACAATAATAATGATAATAATAAAAATAATAACAATAATAAATTAAATTAATTTCGCACCTAACAATTTTGACGCTGTTTTTGCCACCTTGACAACTATCGTTTAAAAAACTTAAAATTTTTCGTTGTTAAAATTTTTCAATAGAATTTCATGTTTTTTTTCGAATTTATTTGTATATATTTTTAATAATAATAAAATTACAATAATACTAATTAATAAATTAATGAATAATGCACTGACGATGACGTCTATCTGCAATAATTTTGATAAAATGTTTGTTAATAAAAATAAAGCATCAATTTTAAACAAACTCAATATTGTTGATGAATTTACTATGACAAGTTAAAAAATTCGAATACAAGTTGATAAACACTTAATAAATCGGTGGAATTTATTACATATATATATATATATATATATATATATATATATATATATATATATTTATATTTAACGAATGTTTGGCGTTAATATGCTCATATACATATGAAAACATACAGTTGAACTGAAATACAAGAGATAATTAATTAATTATTTAAAATTTTTATTATTTAAAAAGTAAAACACAATGAATAAATACAAAGAGTAAATACGTCAATCAAATAAGATAAGATGGTGAACAGCAGTTTTGAATAAACCAAGAGAGGGTGAATCCTTTACATACACAGGTAAAGTATCCGAAACACGCGTAGAAGATAAGACTGAGTTAAAAAAATAATTTGACTTTGGTTTAAAGAGATAAAAATCAGGATTATAGCGTAAAGTATTTCTTTTAGGATTTTTAAATAATATAACTTGACTGTAGAGAGTCGCACAATAGTTTAATCTGTATATTTTAAAAAAGAAAACAAGCAAATAAATAATGTAAAACTGATATATGTTATAAATATTAGCCAATTGATAACAATGACTTATATGATCAATTTTTTTCAATTTGAATAATACCCTAAGAAAAAAAATTTTGAACTAAAGTTAAAGTTTTATGATGAGATTTAGGTGCTAAACCCCAAACCGAAAGACAATAAATTAAATAGGGTAGCACAAGAGAGTTATATAAAGTCAATAAGATGAAACTTGGAAATTTAAACTTTAAACGATATTTAGTACGTAGGTTTTTCGATAATTTACATGAAATATGTTTAATATGGTCAAACCATGACAAATTCGAAGTAATAACAACACCAAGGAATTTCACTGAATTAACCAGTTTTATAGCATAATTGTTTAAATATATAACAGGGAAAACAATATTAGTTCTAATTTTAGGTCCAAATAAAATAAAATAATATAAGTTGTATCTGTGCATTCCAACTTTATTGGCTCCAAAAACTGACTATGCGTTCCTACTTTATTGGCTCCAATAATTCGTTTTGCATTGATCCAATGTTTCTCTTTAGCAAATTGTTCCAGAAAAAGATTTCAGAAGAGTTAAAAAGTTATTTGTTCAATAAAGCATTTAATCACAACAGTACTATCCTCTGAGGAATGTCAATAGAGTGAATAACATAACAACAACAACAACAACAATAATAATAATAATAATAATAAGAAGTTTTTTTGTCAGTAGTAAGGTTACTGCATTCTCTTGTATTTTTATTACAGGGTTCACTTTGTTTATACAAAGTGTTTCTACAATTTTAAGTTGAAGAATATTCCTAATGCAATACAGTATCTTTGTGTTATTGTTGAGCATCTCTCCAGTAATTGCTGATTATCGATCAAATGATTTTTTTATTGTACCTATTTGAGTATACATAGTTTATCTTCGTAACAATGTAGATGTAGTGTGTAAAATATATTCTGAAATTCGGTGCCCAACTAACAGATAGGACATTTATAGGAACATATCAGGTAACAATTTTTCATTATTGACTCTTGTTTCTTATTACAGTTATTTTTAAGAACAAGGAAAGAAGTTATGTTGTTGGCATAGTAAATTCTGAGTTGTAACTTGTCATTACAATTGTTTGTTTTGACGTTTTTCATGACTATATTATTTAATATTCTTTCATCCGTTTTATGACGTAGACATAAAATTTGTATATATTGTTATACTATTAGTTCTAGTGGACCGGTTCCTATCATCTCGTTGCCCTCGTTTTAAGATTTTCAGATCAATGAGTGATTTTTTTTACAGCCATCATTAATTAACAGTTCCGTCACTCTCTTCAATTATTTTGTCGTATCGTCTAAATCTAAACAATGTGTAAAGGCACGGTCAACTAATGACGAAATCACAGCATTCACTCTTCCCGTTTAAACATTCTCCTTTGTTGGTTGGTTTGATATAGACCAAAGTTTTGAAATTATTGTTTACATTTTGAACTAGAACATCCAAAAAGGTAATTTATTTTCAATTGAATGATCAATTGTAAATTTCAATTTAGAGTTAGTAAACTCAATTAAACTCATCCAGAAGTTGGTCAATAGTTTCATTTCATCATTGTTGTAAGTGACGAAGATATCATCTACATATCGAGCTGCGGTTTGAGTTGTGGGTTTTTGAAGTACTAGGTGGCTTCTTTTCAGAGTTGGACTTTGGGGAGGCGCACAATTATTCTTTATTACCAGGTTTGCTGTTTTTTGATAATAAACCTGAGAATTTTGTATCATTCGCATTTATATATATATATATATATATATATATATATATATATATATATATATATATATAAATTTTACCGATTTATTAGTGTTTATCAACTTATATTCGAATTTTTCAATTTGTCTTAGTAAATTTTTATCAACGAAATTGAGTCTGTTAAAAATTGAAACTCTATTTTTATTAACAAACATTTTATCAAAATTATTGCAGATAGATCTATTTCGACAGTAAACCGTCATCGTCAGTGCATTATTTATTGATGTAAAATTATAGTTTTAATATTATTAAAAATATATAAAAATAAATTCGAAAACGAACATAAAATATAACGAAAAATTCAAATTTTTTTTAATATTTGAACTATAGTTGTCAAGGTGGGAGCAACAGCGTCAAAATTGTGAAATGCGAAATTAGTTCAATTTATAATTATTATCATTGTTATTATTATTGATGTTATTATTATTGCTGTTATTATTATTATTGTAATTATTATTATTATTGCTGTTGTTATTGATGTTGTTATTATCATTATTATCATTATCATCATCATCATTGTTAGACTGCTGGCGGATCCGATTAAGGTTATTGTTGCGCATTCTTCGAGTTGAAAGTGTTGTCCAGAATAGTTGTTGGATGTTGATGGAAGGTTTTTCAGATTCGATGAAAATGGCTTCTGCGATTCTTAGGTCGTAGTGCTGTTGAAAGTTGTATAAAATCTTTGTGTTGTTATCTAGAAGGTTCCTAGTTATTAAAACCGCCTAGAAGTTTCTAGGCGGTTTTAATTTTACCATGCTTATTAATGTTGAACATTCTTACTCCGTAAATTCTTACTCCGTTATTTAATTTCCGTTTTTATAATATATTATTACCTAGCATGTCAGTTTCTGTGCCTGTCAGAATCTGTTTTTTTAAATAATAAAAAAACCTATCGAACTATCTTTAAAACCCTGGATTTCACAAAAGCGTTCGACACCGTAAGTCATCAAACACTGCAACACTGCTTGATGATCATCTGACTTCTACTTCGCCTGGTTCCACTACGGCTTTCCAACTATCTGCCACGGCCACTGAACCTTTACCGAATTTCGCCACCAACTCCCCAAAAAGCGAATCATGCGCATAAGCGTGCCACGAGGTTCAGTTCTATCTTCCACCCTTTTTAATATCTGTCTCCAAGGCTCCTCAGCTACCATCAGATATCAATTTCGGATGATTTACATATCTGGTCCGGACGTCAACATTCTGATCCAACGACCAACAATTATTTTCACTCAACGATTTTTTCAACCGAAAGAGCCTATAGGTTTCAACTTCAAAATCAATAGTTACAGTTTTTACGCCCAACACAGCATACCTTAATGCTGCATCGGAGGATTACTTACTCTTTGAGTGCCAGATGCTCTCGATAAAACAACACACAGACCTCCTATCTGCACGGTTCCTGCTACAATGCCACGGTCCACAACACGCCATCATTGTAATAAATCGTAAAATCTGCAACATGAAGGATAATCTTCCACCAGGTTCTCACAGTGCAGCAAGTCATGCTGACGTCACTCACAACAGACTGAAAGCAGCATAAAACATAGTCTATTGAAATGCTGCCTAAGCCTCCATTAAGTCTCCGGCGTTGCTCGAAGGGTGACCACCACCTGCCTAGAATATAGACGAATCAGAATTGACACTAACTACCCGGATCAACCAGGCAGACGCTGACCCAGCTTTGTTCTAGCCACAAAATTTTCCTCAATAGTTACAAATCAAGAATCGATAATGGTATTGACAACATTTGACCCTTCTGCGTCATTCAAGACAATGTGCCTCGTCTGTTCAACCCTACATCACTTAATACAGCATAACTCTGACGAAACCCGGCTGCGGTTGCAAACTGGCTCGTCTGATGAACCAGTGTTGAACACGGGGTAACCAGTTAATATAACCGTAGTAAAAGAGAAATAAATAAAACGATGTTTATAAAGCATGTTAGTCAAAATTAAACAATTAAAAATACTAACATCGACATCATAAAAATAGTCTTTTGTTTTAGCAGCAATTTCATAATCTGCTCTTAGAGCCACATCGTGCATTTTGTGACATTCTCCTATATCCATTCTCTAAATATCAATTTGTAATAAAACATCATTTTAAATTCAAATGAATAATTAAAAATAACAAATTTATAACGAAAAACCAAATTTGTTATCACTTTAAAAACGTGAAAAACTATTGATAATAAATGAGATTTGTAATATTTATTAATGTAAAGATGAATGAAATCCTCTAAAAGCACATACTCATAGTTATGTACTAGTACAACACTCCAATCACAGCTAAGGTAAACCCTATGAAACGAAGTGAATACAGGTTGCTTTGATAAATGTTGAAATTTAATTTACAAGATCTGTGCAAAAACACAACACACATCGATAAGGGTTTAAAAAAACACAGAAACATCAATGGTATAATGAACGCACCAAAGAAGCTACAGAATCACTATGATCAATTTAATGACCGATCCTACATAGAAAGCAAGTCAAGATAAAACAAAAACTTACTGTGCTAGACAACAAGTCATGTGGACAACAACCAAGTAGAAAACTTTTACAAACATTTGCATCATCAAATTTAACTGCTGATTTACCTGATGTTCCTGAAATATAACATTCCTTTATTTTAAATAATTAATTTTAAGTTAACTGAAGGTATATGAAGGACAACAGAAATGAAAATATTGAACTGGCAGGGTGGATCAATTGTGTAATTTGGAGATATTTTTTAAACTGGAGAACAGACGGAAAAATAATTGGCTATTATCAAAGTAAATTTAGGTAGTTTAGACTTAATAAGCAGTAAATAAATTATTGTAAAACATAAGCATAAAAATTTGTGTAAATGAAGTTGTAAACAATTATTTTAAATAAATGCAGTATTATAAGACGTATCTTTTTTTGTTACACTTTAAATAAATCACACATTTAATATTATTGCCCTACTGTATAGAACAAACATTATCGGCTGATTAATTTTGTCTCATTCAATGAAATCATTTTGTTTTTGACAACCAAATCTAAAACTATTGATACTTAGTTCATAGTTGCCAAACATCCCAAACTGGGCGGACAGTCCAGAATTTCACACGCCTTGTCGCTTTGGTGTCTGCGGGACGTGTATTTGTCCAGCTTTTTGCGAAACCAAAATAGTGAAAAAACGAAATAGCAATTTAATAACAAATTTAAAAAAGCACACAAAGATATACGTAAACGCCAATTATTTTTATGTTTCTAACAGAAGTACATCAATAAAACCATTTTTTAACTTCACTGCGATGTCAGTGATGATTATGATACTAACGATACACATCAAAGAAAAATTATCACGCCGGCATTTTAGTTAGTCTAATCGCGATATAGGTGATGATTACGGTTGTCAAAAAAAACAACAAAGGAAAACGCCGACCGACTATTTATTTAATTTAATTAAGATATCGATGATGATTATGATTGTACAAAAAATATCTAAGCACTGTAACAACTGTATATAATGTATAGTATATATAAGAAATATTGATGAAAATCGCGGCATTATTATCAAACACTTATAAAGCGCCTATTAAAATAAATATCTCTCACAAGCACAATCGAAAAAAGAAAAATAATAAACGAACAGTGAAATAATGTACATTCTATCAATAAACGATATGATACTATCAATTACAATCGTTCATCGCAGATAGATAAGTTTTCAAATTCTTTTGGAAATCAACAATGTTCATCTTCGACATTCTCATCGACATTGGCAGACTTCCAGACGATTGGTCCCGACACTGCAATGTCTCTAGACGATGTCTGCAGCTGCGTAGTTGGTACATTCATCTGATCGCATGCGTCTGCCAGTCGATATATATATATATATACACACACACACACACACATATATATATATATATATATATATATATATATATATATATATATATATATATGCACAACATTTCTGCAGAGGAGAATGGTTGACGTGGCTGCATTACAGGAGAACAGATGGAAGGGTGAGGGTACAAGGTTTGTGGGGGCTAAAGGTGGAAGATATAAGTTGTGGTGGAAGGGGGATGATGGTACGGGAGGAGTTGGTGTGATGGTAAGAGAAAAGTTGGTGGAGAAGGTGTTGGAAGTGAGGCGGAGAAGCAATGGTGTAATTGTGGTGGTGATGGTGTTTGGAAAAGTAATAGTGAGGGTGATATCAGGATATGCTCCGCAACAAAGTAGGAAGGAAGAGGAGAAGGATAGGTTTTATGATGATGTTTCTGACGAGATTGGGCGAGCGGGGTTGGATGAGTTTGTGGTGTTGTTGGGTGATTTGAATGGTCATGTGGGGGCGGATGCAGACGGATATGAAGGTGTACATGGGGGATGGGGATATGGTATTCGGAATGAGGAAGGGCGTAGAGTGTTGGAGTTGGCGGATGCACATAGCATGGTGGTGGGGAATACCTGGTTTACAAGGGAACCAGCGCGATTGATTACATATAGGTCAGGGGAGCATAAGTCGATGATAGACTATATATTGGTAAGGGCCAAACATAGGAAGTATGTGAAGAATGTGAAGGCGATACCTGGTATGCTGCAGCATAGTATGGTTGTGATGGATGTGACATCAAAAGAAATGGGGAGGAGGAAGAAGGATAAGTTTGTGGCAAAGAGAAAGACATGGAAGTTGCAGGATGCAGAGGTGAGGAAGGCATTTGAAGTGAAGGTGGCTGAAAATTGGGAGAGTGGTAAGGATGGAGATGTTTGGGAGAGATACAGGGTGTTGGCTACGGCAGATAAAGTATGTGGATGGACGAAAGGAAAGTGTAGGCATGGTGAGACGTGGTGGTGGGATGAAGATATAAGAAGGGTTTTGGAGGTCAAGAAGGAGAGGTTTAGGGTATGGAGAAGGGACATGACGGAGGAAGCGGAGTTTGAGTATAGGAAGGCTAGGAAGGTTGCAAAACAGGCAGTGGCAACTGCAATGACGAAAGCATCAGATAGGTTAATGAAGGAAATGGAATTTGATGTGAGTTCGAGGAAAATGTTTAAAGTAGCAAAGCAGTCAATGAGGGATAGGAAAGATGTTATAGGGAATGGATGTGTTTGGGATGGATCTGGCAAGTTGTGCATAGATGAGGAGGAAAAGGCTCAGGTGTGGAAAGCTCATATGGAAAGGTTGATGAATGAAGAGAATGAGTGGGATGGAGATGTGGAATCTGCGGTCACACACGGACTTATAGAGAAGGTGACGATGGAGGAAATAGAGAAAGCAGTTAGAGAAATGAAACTAGGTAAGGCGACAGGGGTTTCGGAAGTGGCGGCAGAACATATAAAAGCGAGTGGGGTGATAGGAATTGAAGTTATGATGAGAATTGCTAACAGTATGTTTGATGATGAAGGTATACCTGAGGATTGGCAACACAGTGTGTTGGTAGCCGTTGTATAAGGGCAAAGGAGATGTGAGAGATTGTGGGTCATATAGGGGTGTGAAATTGCTAGAGCA